TTTCTAATTAAAGAGTTAATTGATGCGTTATTCAGTTGATGGGCAAAGTTTAAACTCACTCCATAGCATGAGCTATCATCATTACTGGAGTGTGGCGTCTCTTCAATCTCTGGGTTGTTTACTATCCCATTTTCTTCCATCCACTCATCGTACCAATCATCACCAACATTATACTCGATCATCTTTTCTTTACCCTTCGTTGAAATTTGATTTAAAGGACGATCATGATCCGACTTTCGAGCCGGGCACTCTCTTGCATAGTGATTGCCCCTACAGATGTGACATCGATGAGGACCTTGAGTTGTTCCCCTCTTGCTATGGCAATTATTTGCATAATGACCAGTTTTTCCACAAATGTAACATACAACTTGGTTCTTACTCTCAGGGTTCTTGTCACCCTGATTTATTTTAGGTTTAAAGGCCAGCTTGCCTCTATTTTCAATTTGACCTAGCCGAATATTGGCTTTATCTCCCCTTTTGTTGTCAAAGTTGTAGTTTACCCGAAAGTCTCTGTTGGGATAATATTTGTTTGTGTTATGAAAAGCCTTGAGACTGTGGTTGGAGATGAAATCGTTGATCAGTTCTTCCAACGACCATTGTTTGGTTTTTGAGGTATGTGAGGCCTCATAATGCCATCTGTGGGCCCTTTTCTCGACCGCACGTTTGAATATAAGTATTGTGATATTGTCAGCTAACTCCTGACCAGTTGATTTAAAGTCTCTAACGCAGACTCTAAATTTTGTCACGAAATCGATGGCGTTACCTCCGTCGTAAGCCAGCTCTATTAGGTCATTGAAAAAGTTTTCAGCCTGTATTGTGCCAGACTGTCGATATGTCTTGTTGAGTAATTTCATCATATCCGATCCGCTGCTTAAATCTTCAATGATTCTTCTTGGGTTATCGGTCACTGATCTCCTGATCATTGATCCGAAATTTGCTTTATCTAGGTTTGTTAATTTGATCCCTTTAACATACCCTATCGACTGCAAAGCGAACATCACGTCATTTTTATAAACTCCCCAATCCTGGGAGCCGCGTAAAAAGTGGTCCTTGTGTGGTTTCCACTGTAATTGATCCCACCTGAGATTTATTTCTGCTGTGGTTACTTGTAATGTCCTTTGAGGAGGACTCCACCAATCGTCGTCGCTGTCGGACTGTTCGCTCCTTTTCGCCGAAGAACTAGACTCGTTATCGACATTCTTCCTTCTCACATTGGATTTCCTATTGGACCTTGACTCGTCCATCTTGTAATTGCTGGGCCTTGTCTTGCCCGAAATACTTGCGACCGATTGATCGGACTCAAGATTGTTGTCTTTCTGTTGTGCAATAATGTCGCGATCAGCTTTAGACAGTTTTCCTGACATTTTCGTTGTGTGAAGAAAGTAAAGGAGTTCTTTTGATCGTAAAAAGATAATGCTACCATATTAAAACCTTTCTCAAAAGGTGAAGTTATATTACCCTAACTCGGTATATATAAATCTAAGTATACAAAAGTTACACATATTCCAAGTATAGAGTGTTCCCCCATAAATCAGCCCATTTAGCGTCGCTCGCTTATTAGGGCTAACATAGGACATGCAAGGATTAAGGTTTACACAATTATTATTTCCCTTGCACTTTTACAATTATAATATTATGTAAATGCTAGATTGCGAGATCAAAAGAATGAAAGATTGAGAAGCTGGAGAGCTACTAGGTGGCAGCTCCAGCTTCCTTATCTCTAACTCGAAACAGTAATTGAACTCAACTAAGACTATGACAAATGCCGTCATGACGCCAGCCCCTCCATCTCTAACTGTAGGAGTTTTCTTGGAAACCTTCTCAGTAAACCTTTCTCAAAACCTTCTCCCATCACCCTTTCCTGAGAACCTTCCACTTGAAACCTCTTCAAGGATGCCTGGCCATAACATGGCCTCAGACGTCCAACAGTACGAGGGATGGTTACACCGCCCACTGCTGGCCTATGTAGTATGATTGGTAAGGCTGTCTTAATGGGCCTTAGGTCAGCACTACCGGTAATGAGGACAACCCCCAACGCCGTAATACATAGGGAAGGAGGAATACCAACCGGGAAAATCATTCTCGAAGAAAACTGACTTCGCCTCTCTGCTAGGATGCAATCACTCGACGACCACCATCCGCTTAGGGTCCGTGCTGCAGTTTGCCCAAATGTTGGTGCGCGAAAATATAAAAAGCACAATCGAAAATCTGCGCGTCCTGAAATTCAAATGTCACGGGCTCAGCGTGCTTATAGACAGCTACCAGAAGCAGAGGCCGCGGAACCTCATGCCTCACCATTTTATCAATCGCGGCTGGGTTCGAAGGTAGTTTCGAGAAATGACCAAGTAGAAGCCTGTAAACTTTGGATCACTAATGTGCCAAAGTCAGAAATCTGTGCGTACTCGGACGGTTCATCAGAATGAAACGGACGCTCAGCTTGGGGGTTTGTCCTAAAGCTGGATGGGAAAACTTTTCTAAAAGAAAGTGGCGTAAAGCACGGTGGAGAGGCTTTAGATGCAGAGATTATGGGGGCACAGGAAGCTCTTAAAGCAGCGTTGGGTCACCTAAGAGGGAAGGAGTACCTGGCGAAGGGAACGACGCAGTGTATTAATGTGTTGATGGATAGTCGACATGCGATAAATGCACTGAGCACGGGCAGGTCCTCGACCAGCCACGAGGAAGTACGAAAGTTTCGCGAATTATGTGGGCTAGCTCAGGTAAGAATAAAGTGGGTACCAGGACACTTGGGAATACATGGAAATGAGGAAGCAGACGCAGCGACCAAATCCGCCCTACGAACGCTTCCCAGTGTGGAAACTGAGCCAGCAACCACCACGACAGCAATTTTACACCAAAAATTGCATCACCAGCAACAGGCTTTGCTCGACAGCTGGTGGAATGAAACTTGCCCGCCACTACATTGTGAGTTAGATCTGCTCATGCGCCGTCGCAAACCACCAGAACTGGGGCTTTCCAGGCTACAGTTACGACATCTCATTGCAGCCCGTACGGTCTACGGCAATTTCGCGGCGTACCATCGTCGCTTCAACAATCCGCACGCTATCACAGAGTGTATCTGTGGGGAGAAAACCACTCCCACCCACTCCATACATTGTCGACTCAACGCAAACATCACGCGTCGAATCAGAGGGTCATTGTCACGCAGTGCCTTCCTACACAAGCTACTTGGGCCTAAGTGCTTCGAGTGCTTAAAACAATTTGCGCAGGATACCAATTGTTTTGGGTATTCTCCTGTGCATCCATCTCCTATTCTGAGTGGAGATTGAATATAACTCGTCAGGAAGCTAAACCTGACAAAATGGGAATCGAGGCGAGGAGTATTGCTTCCCATTCTAACTTATTTGCATATTATCTTTTTCTTTTGTCGGTCATGGGAGGAGGAGTTCGCAACGGCGCATATTTTCAACTGACTGCTGGTTTTGTGGTGGTTCATACAGTGGAATCAAGCTGGGTATGTCTTAGATGTAGTTCTGGCTGTGAACATCGGTCTTGTACTCAGTGGATTTGGAGCTTTAGCGTAGGACTTTAATAAAACAAAAACAACACCGTACAAACGTTGTTGGCTCAATCTTGTATTACAACTAAATCACTAAGGTTCTCTATCTAGGTTCAACCAGAAAGACCGCCCCTCGTTTGTGTTTGTACGCTCGGATCACTTTGGATGCCTGCGTAACTCTCAGTCCCTATATATTACATGACTGCATAACTAGAGCTGACTATACTTAAATATGCATTCGCTCACAATAATGAAGTATTTAAATAAATACAATCTAATTACAGCGGCTGAGCCCAAATTATCACCTTCTAGTGGTCCCCATGTAGCCCCTCAGTATGCCCTGCAGATTAGAAATGGCCAAGAAGAAACACATCTGAATCGAATTCGAAAGCAGATGTAAAAATATCCAAAATCGTCGACTTTTCAATTTTGGACCTATCTTTCTCACGCGAGTCCTCCATCTCGATTTGCATCGAACCACCCAGCCTCGACGATCAATCGAGAAGTTGTTTCAATCACAAAAGGGAGCTTGCCTAAAAAGAGAAAACTAATTCATACTTTACAATCTTGAGTTTTAATTTATGGGGGACTTTTACTTAAATGGAGCTTTACAGCCTGAAGATGAACAGACTACTTTAGTATGAAATTAAAGAATAAATTGGGAACTGATGGCCTTACATGCACTGGAATTTTCAGGGATGTTCGAGCTCGAGATATTTGTGAGCAACGTGAACTGGAATTGAGACGGCGCTACAGATACTTTAACCGTAGGGTATACCACTTTTGCATCATTTGATGTTGGAGTGTTTAAATAACCTTAGACATTACGACAACCGTTGGTATGATTCAGGGTGGTGCCGTAGAGATTGGTCTCTTAAAGTAAAATATCTCCGAGTTTAGGCCAGGCGCAGGGCATCGAGACTAAAACTTTGGATTATCATATTTTATCTAGTTATTATACATTTATGATTTTGGCTTTATTGAGTCTTTCGGGATCAAGTGCGCGTGTCACGTCAAATTATGGGCAGATCTTGTGCCTAATACGTTAAAATTATATAAATCAAAGTATGAGAACCAACCATGAGTCATGCAACCCATCCCAACCACCAAAAACATAACTCGTGACCTTGGCTTATGAATCTTTGGTAAAGTGCTGACTACGGAAGGGAGAATAATGTAGGGGGCAGGAAATGAGCCATGATTGAGCGTGGGGAGAAGACAAGGTGTCACTGGCTACTATACCTCAACTGAAGCCTGGCCACTCTGTGGAAATGAATCGATACAAGCGCAAAAAATCTTCCATTTCTTTGAAGTGTTTACGGCATAGCCAAGATTCCTTCAAGTATCTAGAGCAATAAGAGGTAATGAAATTTAGGAAACTCCACACATCTCAATCTAGGATTTGCCCAGATTAATTGGCGAAATTTCATAGCAAAAAGATGGTCGGGCTCGAAATATAAGAGTAGTAACAAACGCTCAGTAGATGTCGAGACCCCACATCTGTCATCCCACACATTTCATCGAGTTTGGTCGATTCATAATTATGCGCCTCACCAGAATCGCCGTCATCTTGCAAAGCGCGAGCTTCTTCGTGTCAATTCTTGCGGTCCACACCATGCCACACATTATGGAGCATATTAAAGAGTTTGATTGCAGCGGTCGCCGATTCCAACAACGAGAATACGCGCAATTAACAAGGACCGAATTGACTGGTCCAGTTAACCAATACGGCTGGACTATGGATAAGATATACAATGACTTATTGAGTGACAGATCAAATTATAACCTAAGTGCCTTTCAAGACGACAGCGATAGTTACCATAAATTTTATGAGCTCGAGACTACTTCGCAAAGTATAATGACTCCCGTGAATTGAGAAATTTTATCTTATAATCTTTTACAGGGCACGAAATCAGTCGCGGTTACGTTATCTACGCTTATATACTCGTCACTAACCAACATGGGTTCGTGAATGCCATGATTAGGAGAAGGGAAAGTCACGTTGGCCGTCAGGACCTCCCAGATACATACTCCATATGCCAAATCGCTACTTGACATATTTTCCGTCATGCTATACATATCAGTGCACTAGGATTATTTGCAGAACTACTCGCTCAACGAGTCAATTCCTCGTTACAGCCAGCGGAAATGGAACACGACTTGGATTAGGCAGAGTCGGAATAATTTGCATCATAAACTTGCCAGCTCGGCCTACGTCCATGAGTTGAATCATGCCGTGTCTACTCGTCGAGAGTGAAGTTCTCCGGTTACCCCAGCATAGCGGGGCTGAGATATGGTAATAACGAGCTTGCCTGATGGCCTGTGGACTACGCGGTGTCTCATGTCGCTTAACTACATGCTTGATATTGTAGAGATCAAACAAATGAGCAAACGTTCTCATCATTGATATATTTCCTGTGACGAAAACTCCGAACCTTGAGATCTTGCGCCCTATACCTAAATCCCAAGTCGTGATAACTTTCGTGCCTCAAATACCTGCGCCCTTCCCTCGCGAGTGACCTTTTATTTTGGTTTTCTCGGCTTGAAACTTGCTCGTTTCTATTGCAGTTATGGGCTCAAGTGAATATTACAATGCATGCTGATCTGCGAGAGGTTCTAGAGCGATGATGAGGTTAGATTGGGGTAGGATGTGTATGAAGGGATAACTAATATGATAACTTTTATGATTGTGTACTGAATGCTTACTATACATTATCTTGTATACCCGCGAGCTAGCCCCGAGAGATGTTGTAATGGAAGTTATATAGAGAAGCGTAAGCTGTTAGGCTTGTATCTAATATCACCTAATGAAGCGAGTCGCGAGAATGAAGAGTCTGAAGATTATAGTGGAGAGTTATTGATTAAACTCACTTAGTATCAGAGCGCTATTTAAACTAATTACTACACCTAAGTGAAGGACACGATTCACTTGTTTACGCTAAATAGTTGAGGAAGCTGGTCAATGTATGGGTTGTCATTATTTTTTTTGCATCAGATTTTAGTTGCGTATGCAGCTATCTAGCTATGACACAATATCAAAGAAAGTTACGGAAAAGATGACACAATTTACAAGAGGAGCGCTCATGCCTCGGATTTCATTTGCTAGCACCACTGCGAAGTTATGGTGGCTTTTTCTTCACCCCAAGTCAACCCTCATCCGTGAATACCCACCCAGGGGAATGTCTCAAAAGCCCTGAGTTATCCAGACATGCCTCCGTCATCCATCAACTTTTCTCCGCACGAAATATGGTCTTAGGTGACTCCTTCCTGAGTGAAGTAGGTGCCCAGGCTACTCAGACTATACCAGTGAAAAGCACCAGGAGGCGGATCGCGGTATCTTCCATCGTTGGCTTGTGTTCATAGTGTCAGCTGCACTCCCGCATGCGAAGTCTTGACGCGCATAAAGCTTAATTCGTAAAACCCCTTGCCAAAATTCGGAATTCTAAGCTCGTCGAGTTTATATCCTTTCTTCGTATCATCTTGTCAACTTGTCCTGATCACTCTCACGTCTATCCCAAAGAACTGTTTCCTAGATTTGTTGGCCACGCTTAGCTCCTACGTCGGGCGTAAATATCGGCGTGGGCGAGTTTTTGGTGGTCAACTGAGGCCAGAGAAGGTCGGAGAGAGGTGTGTTCATTGAAATGAGGATGTACTTGGTCGTACTTGTAGACTTGATGAGGCTTGGATAGGATTCAAACTCGCTAGGAGCTAAAAACGACTTGGTGGAGTAGTTTGAATCATTGCCTTGTGGGCCAACTTGTTCGGTATTGCGAAATTTGACTAAGCTTGGCTCTGGGAGGATATTGCACTCCCAGGTTCGTAGATGACACCGCGTGCAGGTGTTCAGTCTTGCTCTCCCATGAGTCGTCATGAATGTGGCTAGAAATAATAGAACCCTCTTACGTTCCGAATTAATGCGACTCTTCGTTGCCGAGAAGCGCCAATTTCAACAAGGGGGACTACTCACGGCACCTGTCAATGTTGTCCCCTACGTACGGCCGGATCTTACGAAAAGGTCGGCCAAGCCAAGATTGAGTAATTTAGTCCTCACTTCGATGAGGAATCTAGATCGTTTTCGCGTCTACTTGCTTTCAAGTTTTAGCAAAACCCCTTGGCATTATTATCATGAAGCTAACCACAATCACATCAGATGGTAGGGTCGATGTCCTTCTTAACACAAACCCTTGATCATGAAAGAAAAGTGATCCGATGAGTTTCCGATGTTTGCCCTGCACCCCAGACGTCGATGGTGGATTGGATCAAGTCGGCCTTTTGTGTCAAGATTTCATGGCTGGATAGCTGCATGCGCAATTAAAATCCAAAAAAAAACAAGAGACAGTGAAGTAGTCTTGACTAGGGCACCGCCTGTTGTAGGGCGAGAGAGTAAACAGGACAGAAATCGCGGAACAAGATACAAACAAGAAAAGATGTGGACAAGATGCGTAAATCCAGCTAAACATCGCACGCCCTTCAGTGAGGTAAGTAATAACTTCTTCAGGAGTCTCTCCGTACTTGCTTGACGCCAGTGTTAAAAATAAAACTAGTCCTCTCCATTCTTTAAATTTGTGTTACTATGACAACTAGATTCCCACCACTGCGTAGGCATGCTTTCACCTTTTTATGAAGTGCCATGACATCGCCCATGGCTTGAGGCCACAGCATATATCACTAGTTGTGACTGAAACCAAGTTGGTCATGATTAATTGATTTATTAAGCTATGTGAGGAGGAATGAGAACTCTAGCCTCTACAAACAGGTATTTATAAGAGTTAATTATCCTCGTTAACCTGCAGACTGGTAACTTTTCCTAGGCACTTTAATTTATATCCAGCCACGCATTTCCAGGTTTCACTAAATGGTAATGACGATCAGTCTCCTGATTAGTAGTGCTTTATCGTTAAGCGCCATCTCCTCCCCATACATCATATCGTAAGAATTCGCAATATTAAGCTTAGGTCTACTCCTAAGCTCAAGCAAAGGCCAAACCTTAACACAAGTATCCTAGTCATGCGAGCATGTATATAGGTTCATGGATGTTGTCAGACCTGGATCAGAGCCCGATGGAATCAGTATTCTTGACTTGATGTTTTTGTGGCTCATGTGAATTCCATTCTTCTAACATGATCGTAACGTTATTGTCAGAATAACATGCCAAGCTGGTACCTGACATAATTTGTGATTGGCTCAGGAAAACCTTGGCGTTTTGGGTAATTTTCAGCTAGAAATTACTTGGGGTCCGTGTAATAGAGGTGGTGGACTGGTATTGAGTCGGTTTAGGATTACATCTTGGCTACAACGTGTTTGGATTGTGTCCTGTTATGTAAGGAAGCTATTTTTAGATATTATCATCATATGTCAGGTGGTAGATATGTGTAGATATATAAGCTGAGAGGAAGAGGAAGGAAGACAGATAATTTTATCCTTGTATTCACTTAAATCGAAAGCTCCTGTGCGAGCTATTCTTCCAGATACCTCTAGTCTCAATCATTACAGCTTCCGAACCAGCTCAAAAGGTTCGACAGATTTACTCACAATAAATGGATACATGTTTAGTCTTATACTTTCTGTCCACATACCTAGAGTATAGACTTGTATGAGTTTCTTCACTCTCACCCATAAAATATAACATCGTCCATTGCTCATCACTCCGCAGTATGACTTTCGCATAGCTCGTAACTACAGCACCTATGCCCGAGGATCCTAAAGAGATCCACACTCTCTACAAATGTCTCCGAAGTGCTCATCACATTCACTGTCGAAAATACGTTTAGATATTTACGTACTGAATTGTAGCTTTACTCATCTTGGCACGTGAGAGGTGGCTAGTCATTGCGAAGCTCGATAGGCACATAAGACTAGTGGAGATTTATCCCATAGATGTAAATATAAATCCAATGTTCCATTGTGGTACAATTTATGATTTCTCTACTTCATCATGACATATCCATAAAATGTTGTACAGTGTTAGAATTCATCACAACTCATCATAATTGGGGCTATCAAGTAGGCCATGTTGTCGATACACGCGTGACTGCAAATTCTGTCCTTAATTTCACTTTGGTAGTTCCTTTTTTTTAATTCATTAAGTGTATGCAGCCTAACTAGCTATGACACTATGTACAATTATCCCTTATCAACACAGACACCTCCTTATTCCACCATTTCAAGTACATCATGATACAAAGAAAATTCTTGATCAGTAAACTGTAATTAGTTGGTTGATTTCTATCTTCCTCAACCCTATCCCTAGAAAGACAGCCAGTTGTTGAAAGATATTTTGGAAGCGATGTTTTCCCCACAATTTTGTTGAATATAATTGAAAGTATGAATGGTGATAGATTTTGAAATTTTTTCTCCTCTGTTTCTTGAAGAATGAATAGTAAAGTATTGAATGCTCAATCGTTTGAACACTTTTTATGCAGTAATTGCAGCCATTATTATTGCTTTTCCCAATCTTATTCATATATGCCAGGTGGCTTCCTATGCCTGTTCTAGCTTGAATATATGCTGACTGGTTTTTTCGAGAAAATTTGGTGATGTTGAATGGTTTGAATTTGAAGTTATGTATGTGGCATTTAGCCTGGGCTCTGTATAATTTGCCCAGTCCAATTGCTCTTTTCCTTTCTTTCTCACGTTGTAGTTGAGACGTCCAGTCTTGAGACCAGGCATCCTTAATAGATAATCTCACCTCTTGTTTAACGAAGCTGAGTGTCGTAAATAGATGTTTTTTAATTAACTTTTCATTTGCAGTTCTTCTTGCTATAGAGTGTGACGGGCTTTGCCCGGATTGGGACTGGTCACTAGAACCACTTCGTCTCCAAGGTAAGGTAGTGGCAAAGCAACGCTCCTGGATAGACGAAAGGGGACTTTAAGGGGGTACGTACCAGATGGGGGAGTACGATACAGGAGAAGAAAGCCATGGAGAAATGATGATTCTCAGGGGCCAAGGAATATAGCGGGGAGAAAGGATTAATTCTCATATGGCTAATGGGTGGAATTAATACTAGCGTACGCGGAAGACATAAAGGATAGGATACGATACGGTAGTTTAGCTT